CGACCAGAATCTAATCATCGCCTTCTGGCAACCGGAAGCATAGAAGTAACGGATCAATTTACACATCTCGGCTACATCATCTCTGAAGAGATACCATCCAATTAGAATTAAACGGGAGGATCACACTAGGAAGCCTAATGCTTTCTCGTTCTCCTGTCCGTTGCTCTCTTGAGATAAACGGAGAAGCAGTGGAGCAGGTGGAGAACTTCAAGTACCTCGGAGTTGTGTTTACTGGTGGTAGAAAATCTGAGAACGAGGTCAATCAGCGGATTAGCTTAGCCAGTATCCTTCTGCGTGAATTGGCTTGGATCACTGTGATTAAAGCAGAACTTTGTCTGAAGCTTCATCACCACGCTTACTTTCGTTCATGAGTCGTTGACCATCACTGAAAAACTGCTGAAATGGCCTTATTTAGACTAGTCGCTGGTTTTACGCGTTTCGACATGGTCTGGAACACTGACATCAGGAAGGGCCTTGATGTACAGCCTTTGCTTCTCCAGATTGAGAAGTTATACCTGCGATGGCTTGGGCATGTGTTGCGAATGCCTCCAGAAAGGAAGGCTAAGCGGCTGTTCCTTGCAAATCCGACCGGCAGAAGGCCCAGGGGACGACCAAGATTAACCTGGTGCAAATATATGCAAGGAGTGTGTTCGAGACTTCAGTTGTCTTCTGCCAAAGCTCAAACTCTGGCACAGGATCTAGAACTTTGGAAGCACTGTCTGACCCGTCTGCTTCCGCTACCGGTAGCGAAAAACGGTCATGAAAAATGAAGATCATGAAGGATCACTCGTATATGAAGTGGTTTTAGAAAAATGTCCAATCATTGGGCTGAGACAAAAGTATCTTTTTACAAAAATATCCGTCTGTACCTCATCTCTGTCAGATGAGTGTTGTAGTACAGCATGGAAACAGTTGATCTCTCGAAAGAGCAGGAACCACGGTTGAACAGCGTACCGTTGGCCTCGACGCAAAACACGGGTTAAATGACAGTACCATGTGAAGAATGACTCCGTCGTCTTCCAGGCACAGATGACTTCAATAGACATGGAGATTATGAAAATTATTGGCCTCGATAAACAATCTGGTTGAGTAGAATTCATTTATTCCGGTCCGTCAACTTTTCTTGCGGAAGCTGAAAGTCCGCAGACGTTGACCTGGAGGTCAGCATAAAACTTGCGAAGAAAGTGAGGCCGATCTGTTTCCGGAAGGATTATATTCTTCTACGAGATGGTGCACTGGGAAGGGGCAAACCGAGGACCATATGACTCACGAATATTGGGAATATTGTGTGTCTGACACTCTCGCGCATGGACTCTTGCCTCTGAACTTGCTCGACTGGTGAAGACCCGGGAACTTTCCTGAAACATCTTGAACAATCTACTCCAGCGACTAACAAAGGACAAGATTGTGGGAAAATGGCTAAAGGATAATTATGTGGAGAAATAATAATTTAGGTTTTTGGTTCCGGACACATGGTTATGCAGAGAGTGATCTTGATTATCGATTAATATAAATCTTAAGATTTCATCTAAGTGGCGCCATAGCCAATTTTTACTTAATGCTACGTCTCTGTTAGCTGCAGGTACTCCCATATGTTCTACTTTTTCTATTCAATGAATTGTGTTATGTTGCTTGCTTGCACTATATAGTGCCAGTAGCCGACAATGATACTGTTCGAATAAATCAAAAGTGGATTTCCGTCTGCGTAAACAGTTTCGCTTCACTAGGATGGATAGGGAACTTCTCAGCTACGTGAAATGCCAAATAGGAAATCCACTTAAAATGGCCCTTAGCGGGTTCATTAAAGCAAAGCGATGAGAAACCCTTTCTATGCAGTGGAACAGCAGCAACTTCTGGGAATTAGGAAGAGTTGAATGGAGCTATCTTAGAAGAATTTCCCATTTTATTTACGTGTTTGTAATGTTCGAATCCGTAAAGTTTCAAAATATGCTTTATTACGAAACCAATCCATAGATAGTATTGAAAAAATGCTAATAAACACGGTTTACATATACCGATACAAAAGATACTATGGTCATTCGTGTGACTGACCATTACCGAGTTTGGGCCCGCATCTCACTGACCTTCTTCAAGGTAGATTGGTGGTGGTGAAAATTCGTGTGTGTGGTTGATCGTCTGCACCAGTCGATAGTCTCAGATCCAGAAGAGAATATTCTGGAAACGATTGGTACCTTAAGTCTATAAGCATCTAATCACAAGAAAACCACTGAGTTTCATAGCCTTATTCGGCTTCTGTACCACTTGTTAAAACAAGTAACTCCTTTCGAATGAACGTTGAAGAATGTTTACAAAAAAACTCCAATTTATCCATTCGTGCGCATAGTATTACTATAGGACAGAGTATCACAATTTATACTTTTATTACTAAAGTATAGGTTTACACGTTATTCCTTAAACTATACTTTTTCTACCATTAATATTCACACCGAAAAGAAGCTTATATCATTTATATTGGCAGGGATTGCTGCAGAGATAAAAGGTTAAATCGAACGGAACGCCGGCACTGCCGAAGTTTCGGACTCACTCGGTTCGCATAATGGATGATTTGGTACTAGTCATTAAAATTACTCGCGAGTTTTGGTTTCAGTGCCGTAGAACAGTTCGAAATTGGTCTTGACGTTTTCGCAGTTCAGCTGACCTTGGTGAACTTGGGATCATTTAGCTTGTAGACGATATCAGTGCTGACCCGCTCGCCCCATCGTTGACCTTGGCCTGCTTTTTGACACAGTAGCGACGACTCCATGCCATGCGAAGACTCCCGTGGGTCAGGAGAACGGCACACGTGCAAGTCTTTTCCTAACTCGGTCGGCTGATCGGTCATCCACGCAACAGACATTGTTCTTGTAAACTTGAACCCCGTTTTTTCTGGTCAAACTTGACACAAATAACCTGAAATCATCCTGGAACTTGACATAGAAAGTTCAGCAATTGAAAACAACTTTTTACTCAATCTTATGTCATTGTTTTTTCTTACAAACGCTTGTACAGACATTGGTGGTCTGATCTTTAGTTTAATTTGATTAACTAGTGGTCCTGTTTTGAAGCTGCACCGGAATTCAGTTGACCCAGTAAACTTATCCCTTGCCAAAATTCTTTCAAACATAGAGAGACAAGGTATTCGTGTTTGAACGCCAAAGTGAGCCCATGACTCTAAACGAATTAAGACAGAGTTGGAAAATCGAAATTGATGCTATCTCTTCTTGAAATGGTATTTTCTTCTGCATACAGTTGTTAATGCGCACTTGCCTGTAGTAATTCTGGTAAAGTGCCTTTCGCTTAGCTCAATAAAGTGATTCTAAATTCCGAAACTACTATGTCATTATGTAAATTTCATGTTTCTAATGAGCTTGAACTTTCAACATGCCCAAATTCATTGCGGATTCGCGCAAACCATCCTTTATGAAACTGATTCTGTGAAATACTTGCAATTTATCTCCCTTTTACTCTGTCTACCATTCGTTTTCTCCAAGAGAGTCCAATTTCTAGAGGTCGAATATCCCGCTCCTCCTAACTTATACTTAATTTGGAAATCCTGTAGGTTTTCCCGTACTGTTTTCCTGGGTCACATACTCTTTCCATATCGGCCATACATCACACCATTTATTGTGAATGGGCAGCAAAGGGTAACAAGGATTCGACAGGCATGAGAGGGCAAATCAAAATAATCACAAGTCTTTGGCACCACAAATTGGAACACATAAGGTACAGAATGAAGTTCCTTGTAAAGCGCAAGGCGCAGCACTGCCAGTCGCCCATCGTGCAAAAAAATTTGGAGCACATAAAGCGGCGTTACTCTGAAAGGCTTTCCGGCACTAATTTCCGAAGTGTCCAATTTATCTCACTGTCAGTGAAGCTGCAATGAATGATAACAGCATTTGTTATATGCTGAGCACCGGGTCTCTTCATAGCCCCATGAAAATATTGTAATGGAAGAAAACCAGACAAACATTTCCGAGTAAGATTCGTTTGTACGAAGGTCATCAGGATCGGTGACTTGACAGTTAAAATTTCAAGCAGACAATTAAAAAAATTTAAAATTTAAAATCTCTCAAAAACATGAGGAATATAAGTTTGACAGAAAGTAGCCAAGATCGCGTTCCTTTTGCATTAGCAAATGCCCAGTTCTTCTTGGATTCTTTATTCGTTTGGCGTTTGCCCTGTCGATGATCTATTTTTCTGTTCGTAATTTTGGTTTTAATCATTACCTTTTAAACATGCATGCCAACACGGTTTTAAATGAGAATACTGTAGTCCCTACATTCTGTAGGATTAATGGAAAGAGTACCATTCCATAAAAGGGGGCATAAACCATGTTCGTTTGCATCGAATAATCAATCAAACATCGTTCATAACTGTATTTGAAATAGTACAAGATTTGTACAAGCGCTGTACAGTAAATTATCAGAACAATGCGTCTAAATTCGGCTCAAAGCCTATAAGATCATTTTTCAGTATCCCGGTGCAAGTCTGGGTGG